AAATTTTATATCTTAGTTACGGTTTTGAACGGCGATATTTAAAGCTGAAAATTTTCATTGTTATTTAAAGTTAAAGAATCGTTTAAAAGTAGACTTTGTTCCACTTTCTTCAGAGTCATTGAATAACTTTAATGTTGTAGGAAGTTTTGTACGTTCAGTTTGCTCGAATAAAATCATTCGCAACTCGTTGTGGTCTTTGTGTTGATTTCACCGCGCAATTGATAGTTGTTAACATTATTTTGTAATATCTCAGTACATATATAATAAACAAATTACCTCATGGTTGGTTCGCTTGTACGATTTTTATTCACTCGTTGTGAAGAATCGAAAACGAACGAGTGAGCGCAGCGAACGAGTGAGTTTGCGATTCTTCACAACTCGCGAATAAAAATCGTACGCACTCACCAACCATGAAGTAATCTCTATTTATGCGTTAGCCAACTTCCTTGATTTTATCAGAGACCTTACTATTTAAGTATTTTTCACTTTATGTCTACTTTGAGGGGAAATTGGATTCTGCCAATAAATTCAACAACATGGTGACGTAATGATGTCAGATTGCGTCGAACAACTCATGCCCAGTAGTTGGAAATAATGAGTACATTGTTGTGTTTAATTTTGCTGGCCGTAGGATCAGCGGTTTTGAAGTGATAGAGGCGGGACTTCGTAGTCCTCCTTCCCCCGGGCAGGAAGGAAAAAAAAAAAAGAAAAAAAAAAAAAAAGGCCCGGTCTCAATAGCGTTAAGACCACGCTTGAAAACGCAAACCGATTCAATAAGTGCTAAAGTATTTGTCTAGCTGTACTTCATTTATGGAAATTTAGAGGAATTTTTTTGAACTCATATTTATTTGTTTCCCATTCCTTGATAATGGTAACATGAGATCGCCGAAACGTATGAACGTTTTGTCGTTAATTTTTACATGTTAATGTTTCTCTGAATCATTATTAATCAAAAATTATAGCTCAATTCGTTTTATTTTTGATATTACAGACATGGTTGCTAAAAAGTTGATTGCCTTTGTTGCCTTTGTGATGCTGATTACCTTACTGGAGCAGATCAAATCAGGAGTCCATGCAGGGCGCATGACAAAACCTAAAAAGGCAGGCCGAGTTAAAGTGATCCATACAGGTCCTCGCGTTAGGAAGCTCAAAAAAAAGGTTGAAGAATTGGAGAAGCAACTCGCCTCTATGGAACAGTGTGAACGTAAGAAACATTTTACTTCATTGTATTATCCTCTTTAACCAAGTAAACTGAAAACAAATTAAACTAAACTGACTTTATACCCTTTCTTTGCGCACATACACTGGAATCAAAGGCGATATTAGGTAACAAGGAATCAATCGGGCCACTGTAAATAGACCTCTTTAGCTTGTATGTTTTGTTTTCCCAGTAGAGGTCCCTGGGGAATCTGACCTTTTGTCTGTTTATAAATTATGCGTACATATGCAGGTGAATAAGACGAAGTTAGAGAGAAATAGTTCTCTATAGTATTATCACATGACCTGTTTTGGGAAAAAAAAACATTTAAGCTAAAGAGGTCTATTGTGAGGTCTAGCTAGAATTTAACAAACTATTCCATTATAATATCCTTAAACTTTCCTATAAGTAATGGTAACAGGACTGAGTGGAGTCCAATTCGGTCTGTAATCATACGAGTGATTAACAAAATCGGATGTCCGCGTAGCGGGAGTCCGATTTTGTTTAATCACGAGTATGATTACAGACTGAATTGGACGACACGAAGTTCTGTTACCAATTAATCATAACTGTAACAAAATTTGAGATTTATAAGGCCCTTTTTTGAAATCAAAACAGAGGAAATTCCAATTTTTTTTTGCTAGTAGTGAAAAAAAGCCATTTAAGCGCGCGTGTGATGGCGTGCACTGTCCAATTACTTAGGCATGACGTGTACTGTCCTATTAAATTGTCCAATTAAGGCTGAAATCAGGGCAGTTGATAACCAATCAGATTTTAGAATTTGGTTATAGTTATGATTATAGTAATAATGGTATTAATTGAAAAAGAGATTTATTTAAATAATTAAAGCAGCCTGAGAAGGTCTCTTATATCAGCAAATGCAATAAATAAATATATGCATGAAGCGGATCATCGTTATTCTAAATTTTCTTCAATGTTTGAAATTTGGAGAAGGTTTATTGCATCCCCACACAAATCTTAATTGAGAAATTATTATGCACCGTTATTAAATATCAATCTAGTAGAACGTATAAAACTTTGCGTTAATGCAATGTTGGGTTGGATTATAATTTGGCTGCATGATTCTTCTTTTTTGGGTTTAAAAAATGACTGATAAATAAATACTCCAGCCTCCACCGCATTTGTTTTATATATTGTGGGGATTTATTGAATATGATTGGAAAACTAGACAAGGATAGTAAACTCAATTTTTAATGGACCTTTGTTTTAATTTCCCTCAAAAAAGGAGTCTTTTTTTCTTTTTTTTTCTTTTTTTTTTTTATTAAAAGCATAAAATTGTGCGTGAGTAAAACAGAGTCGACCTAGGACTCCGCGGGCAACAACGCCACTTTCAGTTTTCAAAAATGTTAAACTTTATTAAACAAAGCAAAACAAAACAAAGCTTTCAGAGCTTTGCTCAGGTGCTGTAGAATTTCCCTCGCTTGCTATTGTGAAACCCCAGCCTCAGATCTGCAAACATTAATCTCACTCTTACATTGGGTACCTATAATTTCCTTAATTTGCAGTATGGTATGTTCCTATTTTATAGCTTGTGAGTCAGCTAAAACAGAGGGTTTCCTGTTTGAAAGTCATACAGTAACTGACTACCTTGAAGTTGAAGTTGAAGGCCTGAATAAGCCATTAGATGCATTAACTTCATGTACCTGGGTCAAATTTAGAGATTCTTCTTTTTCTTCTGAGTTTGTTCTCTGCACTCTTGGCTGGTAGTTTTGCTTGGGCCGACAATCTAACAAGCTTTTGATGAAAACGAAAGGTGGATTTAGGTAACTGATGAAAACCCTTTGTTGTGGTCTTAACTCTGAATAATGCTAGTATTTGAAGTTCAAGTCATTTATATGTATTTTTGTGTGTGTACATGTGATTTGTTACACTTTGTCATAGTCGTCTATAACACGTTCTCGTCGACAACTTGTTCAAATCTTGGACAGACTGTGGTCATGCATACACAAGAGTACTGCACAGGCTGCATTTCACGTTTAACTANTTCAGAGCTTTGCTCAGGTGCTGTAGAATTTCCCTCGCTTGCTATTGTGAAACCCCAGCCTCAGATCTGCAAACATTAATCTCACTCTTACATTGGGTACCTATAATTTCCTTAATTTGCAGTATGGTATGTTCCTATTTTATAGCTTGTGAGTCAGCTAAAACAGAGGGTTTCCTGTTTGAAAGTCATACAGTAACTGACTACCTTGAAGTTGAAGTTGAAGGCCTGAATAAGCCATTAGATGCATTAACTTCATGTACCTGGGTCAAATTTAGAGATTCTTCTTTTTCTTCTGAGTTTGTTCTCTGCACTCTTGGCTGGTAGTTTTGCTTGGGCCGACAATCTAACAAGCTTTTGATGAAAACGAAAGGTGGATTTAGGTAACTGATGAAAACCCTTTGTTGTGGTCTTAACTCTGAATAATGCTAGTATTTGAAGTTCAAGTCATTTATATGTATTTTTGTGTGTGTACATGTGATTTGTTACACTTTGTCATAGTCGTCTATAACACGTTCTCGTCGACAACTTGTTCAAATCTTGGACAGACTGTGGTCATGCATACACAAGAGTACTGCACAGGCTGCATTTCACGTTTAACTAAGGAACATTTCTACATTGAACGTTGATGTGACACGTTTAACAACATAAACAGTTCAAGACTCACATCTACGGTCGAACTAGTTATGCACGAGTCGATGGTTCAGGTAGCCTACGAGGATCAAACCATAGAGGATGTGTTTGGAGAAGAAATCTAAGGGCAAGTCTAAGCGATTGTCTCTGAACATTCTTCGTAGTAGTCTAGTATGTATGGTGAACAAAGGGATAAATCCGCACCTTAGGTGCTTGCTTGAAACAGGTTTTAAAATGGAGAAAATGCAACAATCACCTTTGTCAAGGAAGAGGAATCGGTCACCCAAGAGTTGTTTCAGCGATAAGCCTTTAACTTGGAAATATTTAGTTGTACAGTTTTAAGAGTTTAAGTTTTTTGCTCGCCCGTGTATTGCACACTAACAACTGTATTTGTACCCACTAGAACGGAATGGAAAGTTAGACTAAGTCCTGCCAGTACATTTCTGTGGCATGTTTTTTCAATCAATGTTTGGATGTAAACGGTGGGTTTCGTTTTAGGCTAAGGCAAAGAATATGAAGACTTCAAAAAAGCTAACTTCTAGACGTTGCAAAATAACTGACTAAGATAATAAACCCAGTTTGTTTTAACAACACTAGTGAAATACCACGTGAAACATGATATCTTCGCATGTGAAAAAGTCATCGTTGTTATGCCTACGTAATAAATCGCTCCTTTCAAGCAAAAAAAATATTAAATGAAATGGTTTGGTATTTCATTGGTATCTATATAATAAAAAGAACATTACATGGCTGCTTGGAGACACGACATTTCTCTTCTCGTATTGAAAAAATATTTGGCTCTTTCGCTGCGCTCACAGGTGAAATATTTTTTTAACACTTGAAGGGAAATTTTGTATCTCCCCGCGGCCATAAAATATCCTCTTTGTAGCTCGCATTACTAACTTTTAGTTTTGAATATTTTAATAGCCCTTTAAACATTATCATACGTTTTAACGAGTGGAGCAACTACTGCATAACAAAGGGATCAGGCGAATGGAAGGTGTACGTAGATGGAACATTCAAGGCATCTTTACCAGATCCAGGTGACTTGCCTTTCTTTGATTCCGACGAGGATGATGAAGATGATGATGATAATGATGATGATCATTTAATTTTGAAGGATGAGTTATTAGGTCATCTCACTCAAGTGAATCCAATTGTCTTCACGCTCAACCAATGGTATCATTGTACGAAGATTCACCCAAGCAAATTCTCCAATACAGGACTGTTACTTGGTATTCTCCCATTTCACTACCCTTAAAGTGAAGTTACATTTTCCCTGTGGTTGGGCGAAAATCGCAATAATTTACGGGCCCAGAAAGCTGTTATTGTTTATATTCAACATCGAGGTTTTAATACTTTTGCAGTTAATATCAATAAAATATTTTAGTTAACAAAACAAAAAGGACTTTTTTTTAGCAAAAATCTTTCAGCCTTTTTGTCGTTTAGATATTCATTTGAATATTTGATTTCCAGTCCCAAAAGTTAGAGATACTTTAGAGAAATAGGTCTTTGGATGAAGTAAGGCTCCGTAGGACTCGGCAAGAAAAGAACGCAAAAAACCCACGCTTCTAAATCCTAAGAACTACGCACTAAACAATTGACCATTGCACGCCAATTACCAGCCATATGGATGTTTGGTAAACTGGGGAATACTGTTTTTTTTTTTTTTTATATATCGGTATTTGGAAATTTCTGACCAGAATTCTAGCAATAGTGAGCTAAATTTGAATC